GCAAGAAAAAAACAATCCCATCAAAAAGTCGGCTAAGGACATGAATAGACAATTCTTAAGAGATATACAAATGGCCAAACATACGAAAAAATGTTCAACATCACTAATGCTCAGGGAAATGCAAATCGAAATCACAATGCAATACCAACTTACTCCTGCAAGAATGGCCATAATAAAAAAACAGTAGATGTTGGCATGGATGCGGTGAACAAGGAACATTTCTACACTGCTTGTGAGAATGTAAACTAGTACAGCCACTATGGAAAACAGTATGGAGATTTCTTAAAGAACTAAAAATAGAATTACCATTTGATCCAGCCATCCCGCTACTGGGTATCTACCCAGAGGAAAAGAACTCATTATTTGAAAATGATACTTGCACACACATGTTTATAGCAGCACAATTCACAATTGCAAATTCGTGGAACCAACCTAAATGCCCATCAATCAACAGGTGGATAAAGAAACTGTGTTATATTTGATGGAATACTATGCAGCCATAAGAAGGAATGAATTAACAGCAATTGCAGTAACCTGGATGAGATTGGAGACTATTATTCTAAGTGATGTAACTCAGGAATGGAAAACCAAACATCATGTTTTCACTGATATGTGGGTGCTAAGCTATGAGGACACAAAAGCATAAGAATGATATAGTGGACTTTGGGGACTTGTGCAGAAGAGTGGGAGTGGGGCGAGGAATAAAAGACTACAAATATGGTGCAGTATATACTGCTTGGGCGATGGGTGTACCAAAATCTCACAAATCACCACTAAATAACTTACCATGTAACCAAATACTACCTGTACCCCAATAACTTATGGAAAACATTTTTAAAATAGTCTGTTGCCAATAAATAAACACTTAAAAAATTGAAATCAATGAAAATGGAGACACAAAACAACCAACAGCCTGGGATACCTCCCAGACACTTTTGATTGAATGTGCCTATCATCCTGGTGGCCAAGAAAAAATCCCTGTACACTCTGCCTAGTCCTGAGCTGCATAAATCAGGAATCCAGGCACACAGAGTCATGGCTCAGCCAGGGCCAAAGACCGCTTGCATGAGGTTTTCCAGATGCTGATGTGTTGTGCAGCTGAACTGCCACAGTTCACAGTTCTTACATCTCCCATCAGCGTAGAAAATGGGAGACTCGAGCTCTTGCAAGGACCCCACTAGACAGCCTGGTGTCTGCCTTCAGTCAGTGACCACAACCTGGCAGCTCTGACTCTAGCATTGTGTTCCGTGTGTGTGTGTGTGTGTGTGTGTGTGTGTGTGTGGCTCTAGCGCTGTGTTTCTACCGTGTGTGTGTCTGGCTCTAGCATTGTGTTCTGTGTGTCTGTCTGTCTGCCTGTCTCTGGCTCTAGAATTGTGTTCCATCTGTGTGTTTGGCTCTAACACCGTGTTTCTACTGTGTGTGTGTGTCTGGCTCTAGCATTGTGCTTCTACTATGTGTTTGTATGTGTGGCTCTAGCACTGTATTTCTACTGTGTGTGGGTGCGCGTGCGCACCCACATGCATGCCTCACTGAATGCCAAGGGTCCCCTGAACATCCTTTTCTGTAGAGCCAGGTCTCAGAATGTGTAACAGTGCATGTTCAATTCCCCTTACCCAACAGAAATAGACATTAAGAGTACACAGAAGAAAAAAAAATAAGGATCTTAAAATATACAAAAATATATTTTAGCGACTCATAAAGGAAATCAAAACAAAAACTACACTGTTGTATATTTTTTCACATATTATCAATTTCCAACCATGACCTGTCCCCTTCTGAGGAACTCGTATTACCTACCATTTCCTGACCCATCTTGGTTCTGGCTCCTATCAAGTGTTCTCAAGTCATCACACTATTTTCTTGCTAGAATTTGTCCTACACATGCAGATAGCCAAATGCCATCTCACAAGGAACGTAAAAACCACATGTTCTGGTGGCAATTGCTTTGTTTTCTTTACTGTTAAAATGGTTATAATCCCACTTAAAACACAGTGCAGTCCCTTATGTGAAACGGCCTCTTATGCAATCAAATCTCCATAGACCTTTGTTCAGTTTTTCTAATCTTGGAAATAAGGCCAAACTTTTGCCTTAGTATCAGTAACAAGAAACACAAAGCACAAGAGCGAACACACAAACACTCTTAACATCTTCACCTAAAAATAACCAGTATAACTGTCACAACTGTGTCTTCTTTCCTTTTGAACTGTTTTTGTCTACATATAATTTGTTGAGATTATATTTTGCATTATTACCACTATCTTTTGTAATTTTTGATACTTTAAGAAGCTTCATTCTTTCTTTTTCTTAATAGTCATGGCTGTTTCAGATCCTCCCATTTCACAGAACTGAAAAAATATGAAAATGTGAGGGAGTCCCTGAAAATCTGGGGGTTGTCTTTCCATGTCTTTAAATGCGTAGGTGAAAACGGAGCTGTATTGCTTTTAGATCAAAATTTCATCAGAGGAAACGTCTCCTCTTTAGCGGTACATTCAGGGAAGCCCAGCACTTGTCAGCACGCACGGCGGCCACGCAGTTTAACCATCACTCAGTCCAAACCGACACAGCACGAGTACCCTCCTCCAGCCTCGTAGGTGGGGAGCACCTTCGTGGGGCGAAGGAATCCGTGGGAGCACCCTTCTCCTCCTGTTCGCCCCGCCCTTTGGCCCCACAGAAAAGCTTCCAGGCCAACCTACGAGGAAGGCTAGAGGGACTCTGCTAGGAGGCTCTTCCTACACTTGCTAGAACTAAAAACTCAGGCAGAGGTAAAAACCCAGTGCTCCAAAACGCAAGACCCCGACCCGCCCACGCGGCCCCGACTCGGCCCTCTGGAACTCCCAGATATCAGCCGAACGCCCGAGCCCGTGGTGAGGCAGCCACCATTGCTCAAGGTCGAGCGCCCGGCTCTGGCTGCTCACACGATGGAGGGTGGGGAAAGTCCTCTGCACCAGAAAGGCCGCCTGCGGCACAGACCCCGGCCCTACTTCCCCCAGCGTCAGGGAAAGGAAAGGCAAAGAAAGGAAAGACGAAGGAAGGAGACCTACCTGGCTGAGGCCGCGCGCCAGCGGGAAAGATCCGACTACCTGTGATCTGCGCTGTGGGGACGGCTGGACCCCAATGCGCCCCCTGCGGCAGCGCGACTTCGGCGTTGCAACAGGGTAGGATGCCATTCCTCCCTCCATCTTGTGTGTCTCCTCTTCCTCGGAGCGGGTGGGAGCTGAAGGTCAGAGGAAGAGGAGGTGTTGGGAATCCGGGTTCTGTGGTGTCGGCTCCGCCCAGGGGAGGAGTGGGACGTCTTACGCCAGTACCAGGTACTTGATGGGTCGGGAGAGGTGGGCTTGGGAAAGTCAGATGGGAAATCTTTCATCTTGGCCAGTTGCTCGGTAGAATCTATTTCTTTCCCTTAGAGTAAGGTCCTTGTTGCTAGAGGGCAAACGATGTTTGAGACAGAACAATAAAATGGAATATCTCTAGTTCAATATTCGCAAAACATTTAGATGTAAAAGAAATTTAAATATGTATATTTTCAAACGGTCAGTTTGTATCATTATTTTGCCTGAGGTTATTAAAAGCCTCAATTGCTCCCTCCCCAGGTGAGAGGGAATGAGTAAGAGAAAAGGTCTGGGAGTATCTGGACAGCAGGTGGTCTTGGGGTGGGGGCGTGGAGCTGAGAGTATGAGGGTCAGCTGGTGGGGAGTGAAATGTCTGGTTCCCAAGACCAGACACTGCCCGTGCCCTATCACCCCCTGATTTTTGTCTGGAACTGTTAGGGGCCCAGTGCTGCTTCTGCGGCCTTCCAGGGGATGCTGCTGGTTGGCGCACACGCTGCCTAGGTGGGTGATGAAATGCTACCTCTGAAAGAGTGACAGCGACTCGAAGCTTTCCCGTGTCTGACCAGTGCCCTGATACCTTCCTCCTTTTGAATAAAAAGGAACACTTTTCTCTTGCAAAATAATAGTCGCAGAATGAAGACACCTGTAGTGTATAAAGACAAACGAGGATAACCCGTGATGACACCACTCAGAGAAGAGGACTGTGGGGCGTACATCCTTCTAGCACCTGATTTCTTAAGTGGGAGGGAGGGATGCAAATAAAGATTCTTTTAAAATAATAGTCTGGTGAGCTCCCAAGACCCATGGGAAGCAAGCATGCAGGCTATTCAGTTGCCAACCTATTGATTGTGAAGATATTTTTGTGGACCCATTTAATTTCTATTCATAATATAGTCTTTGATGGATTTTTACTATTTTTTTTGTTGTTGTTGTTTCACAAACTCAATGGTTTAGGACCTGATGGACTTCAAAAAAAAAAAAAAATTTTTCTGAAGAAAACTGTTAAGGAATTATTTTCCCTGCAAATAAACAAGTGTTTCAAGTGAGAACTGAAGTCACCGCTGCCCAGGTCCACTCACCACTATACCCACCTTAAAAGAAACACTTTAAAAAGAAATCCAAGGCCTCTGCACCAACCTGAGGAGAGTGCAATTGGACTTTTACCGCCTCCAACTCCTCAGAATTTTCTGCCTCCATTTCGCTCCTCACCAACTGACCTTCACTCTCTCAGTCCCCCGTCCCCACCCCACCCCAAGACCACCTGCTGGCCAGATACTCCCAAACCTTTTCTCTTACTCATTCCCTTGCTGTTTGGGCAGATGTGGGTGGGAATTACCAGAAGGTAGGGGGAGGAGAATAAATGGGCACAGGTGATACTTTGTTCTGGTCAGACAGTGCCTTCACCTGTTTAGGAGAGAGTTGAGGGAGGGGTTAAGACTCTGTCACAATTCCACGTTGTAGAAAATGGAAAGTGAAAAGAGCTTCCCTCTCTTTCCCAGGTGGAATTAGCTGAAAAAGAACTGGGCTATGAATCTCAGCTGTACCTCTCTGGATGCCTCCCTGTTTTTCTCCTCCTTTATTTAATGTAGGAATGGCCATTGCCGGACACAGAATCAAGTCATAGCCTTTTTTCTGCCTACATTGTCTGAACCGACACAGATTCAGTAAGCACTCATTGTGCCAGGAAACCAAGGTCCACAGAGGCTAAAGCTTTGCCAAGGTGAACCGGCGTGTCACAGGATGAATCTAAACATGCTAGGCTGCAAATCCTTTGCTCTCTTCATGCAAATGGGCAAGCAGCTCCATAAAGGATGCTCAATATCATTCATTTAGGCAAATACAAAGCAAAATCACGAGGAGATAGATACACTTCACACTTACTAGAATGGCTGGAATAAAAACAAAATTGAAAATAACAAGTGTTATGAAGATGTAGAGAAATTGAAACTGTCATACATTGCTGGTGGGAAAGTAAAATGATGTAGACATTATGGAAAGGAGTTTGGCACTTCCACAAAAAGTTAAACATGTAATTACCACGTGATCCAGGAATTCCACTCTTAAGTATATACCCAAGATAACTGAAAATAGGTATTTAAACAAGTTATGCATGAATATTTGTGGCAGCATAATTCATAAAACCGAAAAGGAGAAACAATCCAAATGCCTATGAACCGGTGAATGTTTAAACAAATATGCTATATCCATACCATGGATTATTATTTAGCCATAATAGGGAATGAAGCACAGATACATGATACTACATGGATTTAACTTTGAAAATATTATAATACATTAAAGAAACCAGACAAGAATGCATATTGCATGATTCCATTTATATGAAATGGCCAGAATAGGCAAATCTATACAGAGACAAAGTGGATTAGTAGTTGCCAGGGGCTGGGGAAGGCAGAATAAGAAATGACTGCTAATAGAAATGGAGCTTTCAGTTTAGAAAAATTCTCGAAAATTTGTTGTGGTAATGTATACATAATTTTGTGAATATACTAAAAAGCAATGACTTGTATACTTTTAAATGGTGAGTTACATGGTATGTGAATATGTCAATAATAAAAAGTAAACCAACACATAGATTTAATAAAATTTAGGTACAAGATTTGTGGGAAATTTTATGTCATGGGTAAATCAAGGTGAGAATGCTGCAACTCACTGATATGATCTTTTACATCAAACGTATGAGAAACATATTATGTGAATGCTGATATCATGCAATCAGAGTACAAAGCATCAACTATGAATGTTCCTGCCAAAAAAAATTGTACCTGAATCTAACCACATCCATAGATCTAACTACAAGATATTTTGCTTATAAAGGAATAGGCTTTGCATTGGGATGGATACAGTAAAATGTAAAAAATGAATAATTCTACAGGACAAATTATAAACCAGTCTCTCACCAAAGGAATAGCAAAGGAAAGAGGGAGGGTGGTGTTATAGATTAAAGAAGAAATAGGAGGCTGGGCATGGTGGCTCACTCCTGTAATCCCAGCACTTTGGGAGGCCAAGGTGCGCAGAGCACCTGAGGTCAGGCATTCGAGATCAGCCTGGCCAACATGGCAAATCCCCATCTCTACTAAAAATACCAAAAATTAGCCAGATGTGGTAGTGAGTGTCTGTAATCCCAGCTACTCAGGAGGCTGAGGCAGGAGAATCACTTGAACCCAGGAGGTGGAGGTTGCAGTGAGCCGAGATGCTGAGATTATGCCATTGCACTCCAGCGTGGGCAACAAGAGAAAAACTCTGTCTCAAAAAAAAAAAAAAAAAAAAAAAAACCAGCTAAAAGGAAAGAAAGAAAGAAAGAGAGAGGAAAGGAAAGGAAGAAATATTTGAATCAGTATTATGTAGAAGGAGGCAGAACAAGATAAAAGAATAGAAGGTTCTACCTATTGTCCCCACCCCTTGCAAGGAAGCCAATTTAACAACTATCTATACAAGGAAAACACTGTGATAAGAACCAAAAATTAGGTGAGTACTCACAGGACCTGGTTTTAACTTTATATCACTGAAAGAGGCCCTGAAGAGGCAGAAAAAAAGAGTTTTGAATTGTCACATCACCCCTTCCCCAACCCCTGGCAGTGAGTGTTTCTGTGTGCTGGCAGAAGGAGAGTGCAGCAATTGTGAGTCATTGAACTCAGTGCTGTCCTGTCAGAAAGGAAAACCAGACCAAACACAGCTGATGCTCCCTGCCACCCTAACACAGGGAGTATTTAAATTAGCCTTCACCAGAGGGGAATCTCCAATGCAGGCTAAAATGCCTTGGGGCCCTTGAAAGGCAGTTTAGGCCAAAAGTATTGCAACTTTTATTAGTCCTAGTGCTGAACTGGGAGCAGAGACAGTAGTCTAGGGGGACACGTGACCTACTGACACAGCAGCCTGGGCAGCTAAGTGAGTGCTGGCATCATCCCTCTACTAACCCCAGGCTGCACAGCTCATGGCTCCAACAGAGACCATTTCCTTCCACTTGAGGAGATGGAAGTGGAAGAGTAGGGAGGACACTGTCTTGCAGCTTGGATAACAGCTCAGCAACAGCAGGATAGGGCAGCAGTCAGAGTAATGACTCCCACTTTCCAGGCCCTAGTTCCAGGATGACATTTCCAGACATCCTCTGGGCCAGAAGGGAACCTGCTGCTTTGAAGGTAAGAACCCAGTCCTGGTAGCATTCATCATCTGCTAACTGAAGAGCCATTGGGCCCTGAACAACCAGCAGAGATACCTAGGTACTATGTTGAGGGCCTTGAGTGAGGCTCTGAGACTTGCTAGCTACAGGTACCAGCTTTGCCACTGAAGCGTAGAGCACCAAGTGGGCTCTTGGAGTCCCTGATTCCAGAACTTGGCTTTTGGATGGCATTTTTGGATCTGCCCTGCGTCAGAGGGGAACCCACTGCCCTGAAGGATGACTCCCAGGCCAGGCAACATTCACTACAATCTGACTCAAGATCACTTGGTCCTTAAGGGGACATTGGTGGTAGTCTGACAGTACTTCATGTAAACCTGTGGTGGCAGTGGCCATGGAGTAAGGCTCCTCTGCTTTTGGAAAGGGGTGGAAAGAGTGGGGAGGAACACAACTTGCAGTTTGAGTTCCAGTGCTGCAGCAGCACAACAGAACACCAGGTAGACTTTTAAGGTTTTTGACTGTAGTCCCTGGCTCCCTGATAGCACTCTGGACCCTCATGGGGACATGGGTAACTCACCACCCTGAAGGAAAAGACCTAGGCCTGGCTGGCCTCACCACCTACTGACTGTAAAGCCCCAGGGCCTTGTGTGAACATGGGCAGTAGCCAGGTAGTGGTTACAGTAGGCCTTGGGCAAAACCCAGCATTGTGCTGGCTTCAGGGTTGATCCAGCGCAGTCATAGTGGTGTTGGCTGCAGGGGTGCTTGTGTCACTCCACCCTCAGCTTCAGGTGGCTCATAGCAGAAAGACACTTTGTTTGTTTGTGAGAAAGTAAGGGAAAAGAACAAGAGTCTCTGCCTGGTAATCCAGAGAATTCTGTTAGAACTTGTCCAGAACCATCAAAGTGGTACCTGTATGAGTCTATCAGACCCACAACGTTACTGGGCTTGGGATGCCCTGTAAAGCAGACACAGCTTAGATCACAACACCCAAGTCCTTTTGAATATCTGGAAAGCCTTCTCAAGAAGGACAGGTACAAACAAGACCAGACTGTAAAGACAATAAATACCTAACCCTTCTATGCCCAGACACAGACAGACATCTACGAGTATCAAGACAATCTCGGAAAACCTAACCTCATCCAATGAACTAAACCGGACACCAGGGACCAATCCTGGAAAAACAGAGATATATGGCCTTTCAGACAGAGAATTAAAAAGAGCTGTGTTGAGGAAACTCAAAAAAGATTCAAGATAACAGAGAAGAAATTTAAAGTTCTATCAGATAAATTTAACAAAGAGATTAAAACAATTATAAAGAATAAAGCAGAAATTCTGGAGCTGAAAAATGCAATTGACATACTAAAGAATGCATCAGAGTTTTTTTTTACAGCAGAATTGATCAAACAGAAGAAAGTATTAGTGAGCTTGAAGATAGGCTACTTAAAAATAGAGGAGACAAAAGAAAAAATTAAACAAAATAAAGCATGCCTACGGGACCTAGAAAATAGCCTCAAAAATGCAAATCTAAGAGTTATTGGCTTTAAAGAGGAGGTAGAAATTAATAGGGGTAGAAAGTTCTTATAAAGGGATAATAACAGAGAACTTCCCAAGCCTATAGAAAGATATCAACATTCAAGTACAAGAAGGTTATAGAACACCAACCAGATTTAATTCAAAGGTCACCTCAAAGCATTTAATAGTCTGGCTCCTGAAATTCAAGGATAAAGAAAGGATCCTAAAACAGCAAGAGAAAAGAAACAAACAACATATAATGGAGGTCCAATATGTCTAAGACATAATCAGTACAATAAAATAGAAACAACAAAAAAGTGAAAAAGCAAGGGGATGGAGATAAGGTGTAGCGTTTCTATTAGTTTTATTTTTGTTTGTTTCTTTATGCAAACAGTGTTAAGTTGTTATAAGCTTAAAATGGGTTATAAGATAGCATTTGCAAACCTCATAGTAACCTCAAATCAAAAAACATATAATGGATACCCAAAAATAAAAAGCAAGAAACTAAACCATATCACCAGAGAAAATCACCTTCACTAAAGGAAGACAGAAAGGAAATAAAGAAGATCTCAAAACAACCAGAACACAAATAACAAAATGGAATGACCTGCATTTCCATCAATAAAGGAATGTTAAAATATTTTTAAAAAGTCACGTGTAATACTTCTTTTGATCCTAAGTAGAACAAGTACAAGTTAAGAGCCATATTTAGGTCAATCAGGGAAATTGAACATGGATATTTTGTGTGCCATTAGAGAATAATTCTAATTTTTCTTAGAGGCAAGGATGACATTTTGGTTTTTTTTTCCTAAAATCCTTATTGGTTAGAGTGCATATTATTGTAAACTGCATGGATTGAATAGCTTGTTAGGATTCATATATTAAGTCATACAATAGTTGAAATATACTTTGAGATATTTCAGTAAAAGTACAAATAAAACATAATTTGTAAATGTTGATTATTGTTAAACTGGTTGCTGAGTACATGGAATTTTTTATGCATTGTTCTATCACCTTTGTTTGAAAATGATCATGATAAAGAGTAAACAAGAGCAACCAAATCAGAATTTGAGGGTGTTAAGAAATATGAGTAAAAATACCAAAAATAAGAGTTGGTTATGGTCACGTTTACAGAACTATAATTGCTTGAATTTCAAGGTAGAATTGGAAAAACATCATTTTTGTTTTAAGTATTGTCAAAATATTCAACAGTTTAATGGAGGTACAAAGTATCAATTTTTAATGGACCTTTATATCAGAATGTAACATGAGGAAGGAAATTCTGAAAGAAGTTCCCTCTATTGATGACAAGGTCACCTCTGGAAATGACACAAAGATTGGAATTGTTGAACAAAGGTGACTTTTGTTAATTCCCTCAGCAAACATTTGTTGAACACCTAGTATGTACTGATCATGTTCTTAATGCTACAAGTACAGCCATGAAATAAACACAAAAATGTTCCTATTCACATAGAGTTCACATTCTAGTAGAGGAGACTGATAAAACAGGATCAATAAGATATGTATGTATCATAATAGTCATATGTGCTGCACAGCAAACTGAGCAGGGAAGGGGAACACTGTGGGGTGGGTGTGGGATTTTCACCTCTGGGTAGATTGTGTAGCTAAGGTCTCGCTAAGAAGGAGACATGGGAGAAAAGATCTGAGGGAGGAGATGAGAGCGCTCAGTGGATATCTGGGGATGGGGGTTGCAATGAGAGAGAGTATCCTGAGCTTCCCATGGATTTTTCCCTGTCAATGTATTCATCACCGACAAACAGTAATGTTTCCCCAATTTTGATGCAAGGGGTGCTGCATTGCTGCATTGTTGTTTGGTAGTGTGACTTGGTCAGCATTAAGGCCACAGTTACCTTCAAGGTTCACACAATTAGTACATGGTTTCAGACTTTTGATGCTTAGAACAAATTCAGGGTGTAGCTATGCATAGTAACTGTGTATGCTTCTATAAAATAGATCTTTTGGTAATATGTATAAACAGGTCCTTGCAATAACCTCTCAAGTGGTTCAGGCCAGTTTTGCAAGGCATTTGTAGCTACTTGAGTAGCAGTGCTGTATGAATTTCAAACTGTTACTTCACACCCAATGTCAGGATACTCAACCATCACTGGAATCAAAAAGCTACAAGTGGGAGAATATTTCTGTATCCCAAGATGTAAAGCTAACAAGCTATTTATTAATATTTCATTAAATTCAGAGACAATAGCTTAAGTAAGCAGAAAATATGGATCAGTATTTTTGACCACAAGCCTGAATTCCAGCACATTACTGTGTGAAGTCACTAATTGGCCATAGTTGATTACATCACAATTTGTTTTTCCCTATAAAGTTCAGACCATCTTCAGGCTTAGGCTTATTTCTCCTAAGAGTGTATAATGGCTTGAAGGGTTTTTAAAATTGTTGTTCTTGCTGTATTTTTAAACAGTTAAACAGACTAGGTTTTCTTTTTTTATGCTGAATTCTTAGGAAAATTGGTTTGTATCTATGGCTAAGGAATTCAACAACACTTTCTTTTCTTCTCAGGTTACAGTATTGTAAGAAAATAGAAGAGTGTGATTTACAGTTGGTGTGGCCCTATGGGTGTGGACCCAGACTTCAAGCACAGATTAAGATCATACACTGATTTACCACATCAGATAGGTATGTAACTCAATTATCAATTGTACTTTGATTGTGTTTTACCCCATTCTGTACAATAGGCTTATTTTTAAATGTAAGTATCTCACTGAACTTCCTCTCTTAATATCTGGTTAGGCACTGTGTCCATGTATAGCCCATGGCTAGAGTTAATTATGATGATCATGAGCATTTCCCTTGTGTGATTGAAAATAACCTATTTGGTAAATTCCAATATTGCTGAACTCAGTTTAGACTCAAAGCCCCAGAAAAGGTCACTATTTAACTAGAACAGAACGCCTTGGTATTTAGAAGCATGACTTTCTATAATGTTTTCACCTAGTTTTTACTGGTATCATGGAGATTTGGTAGAAACTGTGTTCATTAGGCTTTGACCTGCATCGTAGCTACATTCTCAGTGCTCAACATTGGGCAAAGATAGGCAGGGTTATTTCAGTAACTTGGCACTTTGCAAGGCTATCAGAATAGCCTGATATTTCTATAAACCTTAGAGCTGGGAAAGAATTTGAGGTGACCCTGTTTGTCTCCTTGGATTACTGAGAAAAGGACCCTCTAGCATCTTACAATGGAATCTCTGAAGGCGCTGTGAGCCTTCCTATGTGAAGTGTACTCTGCTATGTGGCCTTGTAGTTAAGCAGTTGACTTTACTGAAACCGCTGTTGGAAAGGATTTGGCATGGACTAATTTGTGGTGCCTTTTAAGGAAGAAAACTACCACTATCAAATACCAGCTGCATAACATTCTTTCCTCCATAACATAGGGCAGGCTCACAGTGACATTCATAGGTGAATATTATTTATGATGTATTGTTCTTTTGTGATTTTAGTAATACGCACCGTAGTTGATTTAAAATGTTATAAAAAATTTGATCAGGGAGTCATAAGGGACTGCTTCCCAGTCTTTCTATTAGCTTCTAATCTCTTATGGATCACATAGCGCACACACAGTCTCCCAGTGACCTGAACTGGCTAGTTCAGGGTTCAACAGACAGCTTCCTGTGCTGTGTCCTTGTGATTATGTTCTGTTAACCAAAAGTATTGGGGCAGAGAAAGATAATGGGACTAGGTAAAAGAGGATAGTCAGCATCACAAACTCATTATGACTCATTAACTTGTCATCTCTGATTTTGACCAGATCATTTTACTGCTCCAGATTTGAATTTCCTCAACTAAAATAAGGGTCAAATAAATAAATGGTTCTTAAAATATTATGATTAAGGACCTTTTTGGGAAGCTGATGAATGGTGTGGAAATTTTATTTTATTTATTATTTATTTTTTTTGAGACAAAGTCTTGCTCTGTCACCTGGCTGGAGTGCAATGGCGTGATCTCAGCTCACTGCAACCTCTACCTCCTGGTTTCAAGTGATTCTCCTGCCTCAGCCTCCCAAGTAGCTGGGATTACAGGCACAAACCACTGTGCCTGGCTAATTTTTGTATTTTTAGCAGAGACGGGGTTTCACCATGTTGACCAGTCTCTTCTCAAACTCCTGACCTCAGGTGATCCACCCACCTCGGCCTCCCAAAGCACTGGGATTGCAGGCGTGAGCCACCACTCCCAGCCTGGACATTTTATTTTTAAAAATACATGCACATACAAAAAAAAAAAAAAAAATTCAGAAACTTCAAGGAAACCTATGGCGCTCTCTCTAGAGAGCACCCAGACTTGAAGAGCTCAGTGTCTCTTCCAGTTTCACACATTTTTGATTCCAGTGTCTTTCATCATTCAAATTATATCAGATCTGCCAAATTAATCTCCAATGTTTTTCCTTTAAATTTGAACTAAAACAATGACCAGTCATAGTCAGCAGTCAACAAGATCTTGCTACTCTGCCCTCATCACTTACTATTTTTCTCCTTAGTTGCTTTGTCCTAGTCACACAAGTTTTCCTTTTTTTAAGCTGTGTTAGTACAGGTATAATTCACAGATGATAGTCTGCCCTTAAAGTGTATGATTTGATAAATATTGCCATATGTGACAGTTGTGAAAGTATCAGCACAATGAAGAGAGCAGACATATTCATCACAATCTAAAGTTACAAATCCCTTTGTATGAACAATAATGAGACCTACGTTGTTGCTCTGAAGAGAATTTTTTAGTTATTTATGTTGTGCTTAACTAGGAGTAATTTAGTATTCAGACAATTACATATGTGTTTTAAAAGCATGCACTAGGAGTATTTGAATGTTCCTGAGAATTTCCTTTACTATGTATTTGTACTTCCCACTCCAGATCCAATGTTACTTAAATAAAATATTTTACTAGAAATCCAGAATTAAAGAGTCTTATTATGTATTATTTTCTTGCAGCTTTTGGTTTTAGAGTAATTTTGAGTTGCAATTGTTTTTAAAATGGGGTCTTTGGCACACCTCTACACATAATAAGTCGTGAAAGAAAATTTAAAAATTATATAACCATAAAAGTTGAAAATATTTCAAATCCTTTTAAAAATCATGGGAATGTGGTCAAATATATTAATGTGTACTTGGTTATGGGCCCTGATAAGCCCAGCATTGAAAACAGTAAGTTAGCTAAGGAAAGAACATGTGGTAGATAATGATTTATGTATGGTGTAAGTCAGTTGCTCTTAATGCAATTGATAAAAGTTTTTAACATGAAAAATGGTAAATTACATGCTCTGTATTTTTTTTTATTATTATACTTTAAGTTCTAGGGTACATGTGCATAACGTGCAGGTTTGTTACATATGTATACTTGTGCCATGTTGGTGTGCTG